CCTTAGTAGGAATGTAAATTAGTACAACCACTATGGAGAACAGTTTGGAGGTTCCAAAAACTAAACATTGAACCAGCATATGATCCAGCAATTATACTACCAGGTATATATACAAAAGAAAGGAAATCACTATATCAAAGAGATATCTGCACTGTTTGCTACAGCACTGTTCATAATAGCCAAGATTTGGAAGCAATCTAAGTGTATATTAACAGATGAATGAAAAAAGAAAATGTGATATATATATATCACATATATGTGATATATATATACACAATGGAGTACTGTTCCGCCATGAAAAAGAATGAGATCCTGTCATTTGCAACAACATGGAGGAAACTGGAGGTCATTATGTTAAGGAAATAAACCAGGGACTGAAAGACACTCTTCACATTGTCACTTATTTGTGGGAGCTAAAAATGAAAACAATTGAACTCATGAAGAGAGAGAATAGAATGATGGTTACCAGAGGCTGGGAAGGATAGTGGGTTGTGGGGGAAGTGCAGATGGTTTATGTGTACAAAAATATAGTTAGATAGAATGAATAAGATCTAGCATTTGATAGCATAACAGGGTGACAACAGTCAACAATAATTTATTGTACATTTAAAAGTAACTAAGAGAGTATAATAATAATAATAATAATAATTATTATTATTATTATTTTTAGACAGAGTCTCGCTCTGTAGCTAGGCCCCAGGCTGGAGTGCAGTGGCACGATCTCTGCTCACTGCAACCTCCGCCTCCCGGGTCCAAGCAATTCTCCTGCCTCAGCCTCCTGAGTAGCTGGGACTACAGGTGCGCACCACCACACCCAGCTAATTTTTGTATTTTTTAGTAGAGACAGGGTTTCACCATGTTGGCCAGGATGGTCTCCATCTCTTGACCTCATGAGGCCCACCTCAGCCTCCCAAAGTGCTGGGATTACAGGCGTGAGCCACTGCGCCCGGTGAGAGTATAATTATTTTTAACACAAAGAAAGGATAAATGCTTGAGGTGTTGAATACTCCATTTACCCTGATGTGATTATTATGCATTGTATGCCTGTATCAAAGTATCTCATGTACCCCATAAATATACACACTTACTATGTACCCACAAAAATTAAAAATTAAAAAATGCAGACTCCTAAGACCTATCCTATAACTACTGAATCACAATTTCTGTGGTTTGCTCTATGGAGTCTGAATTTTAAACATGAGTCCCGGATGATTCTAAGACACAATGAAATTTAAGAACTACTCTTTCAGCATGTGGAAATCTGTGCGATATGTTTAATTCTGAATCATACACTACAATGGTAAAGTATAAATGCCAACTTTGAAAATGTTCACTAATGTGAGTATATTGGAGTTTCTAACTGTTCTTTCAGGAGAGCATCTCCAGGGCATATTTTTGTGTTCATTGCTATATCCAAAGCATTATTGAAAAAGGGTAATGTTCCCGTTTTACAGACAGAAACAACACACATATACAGATAAAATAATTTTACATCCTTCTCTACTAGTTTAATCTTAATTGAAGATTTTTGCATGCTTAAAACCTATTCTTAAATTCCCCCTGGTTTACAATAATATAATTTAATTTGGAATAAAAAATAGCATAACTGAAGAGCCCACTAACTGTGCAGTTAAACAGTTATAAATTGAATTAGAGAAGGATTGTTGTATTCAAACCCCTTAATATTTCACTTGTAAACATTTGTGTTTCCATTAATATATGGAGTTAATGCAACATTGACTCAAAGTTCACCATTAAGGAAAAATATAACACTCTTAGATATTGATATGAAATTCTCCTATAAGGAAAATTATTACATCCTAAGAGCTTCAAGACATATGCCAGTCAAATAAAGCAGACACCGCTATAGCTGGGTCTTTAATTCTGTAGCGGAAGTAAGTGAAGGGAAAAGAACTATATTTATTCTTATTTGTGTATATCTTTGAGAGTTTTTGGCACGTTACATATGCTTGTGGGTATTGATCTGTTAGTTGAGATAATTTTTTTGTGTGTATTAAAGTAATGGATCACAAGCTGATTTTTTTTACTTAAATGGACATTCCTACAGGGATTTCCTTGTCCACCTAAGATGAGGAAATCAGTCCTTTGGGGATTTTCTTCTCTTCCAAAGCATATTGATAATTTCCCAGATAAAACTGAAAAACCCTAAGAAAGTAACAAGTCCTTCGTTACTTTTACTGAACTCAAAGTACCACACAAATGTTGCTCTCCTGAAATTGTGCAGGGTTCTGGGAAATCTCCCTCCGCACATTTCAGCCTTGCTGTGGTGTTCCCTTGATCGAGTTACTGGAATTCTCTGAGCTCAGTTTCCTCATCTTGGGGCTAAGAATGCTTCTCAGAATTACTGTGAGAATTCTTTCAGTGGATGATTCCTAAGTACTATGCGTAGTTCTTGGCACTCAGTGAATGGTAGGTAGTTATTGTTGGGGGAAGCTGTAGAAGAGTGGCAAAAGTATTGGTAAGCTTTGATGTCATACAGACCCAAGATTTGAAATCCAGCTAGTTTCTAGCTGTGTGATCTTCTGTGAACAAGTTATTCAATTTATGCCCCAGTTTTCTTAATTTATGATGTAGGGATTGTCACTCTGGTTACTCTGAGGATTAAATGAGTGGGTATACACACTTACAGGGCCTAACATGTATTCAGTTATTATAAGATAACAAATAATAGTCATGATTTTTTTTTAGTGAATGGAACAGCCTACTTTCTAAGCTAAATTTAAAAATACATGTGTTTTGTACACATGTATCAACTTGAGTTTAAATTTAAGATCCTACTCTTGATATTTTAGCAGCTATCTCATTTTCAAAAAGTATATAAACTTTTTGAAATGTCTATATTTTCAAAAAGCTTTCTGATTTATGCACAGACTGATGTGTATTCCCATTGAAAGATTTTGGGAATCTGAAAACGGAGTGACAATGGGACAAGCATTTCTCTGGCTGCTTTAGGAACACAGGGTTGGAAGAAAAACTCTCCAATGAAAAGTGCAGCAGATAGACACATGCTGTGAGGCTTCAATAATGTGTATGAGTGATGTCAGCCTCAGAGGCATGCAAAATGCCAAACACAAAGGAAATTCATAATTGGATTTTCAGGAAAAGGGTTGTTCCTTCCTGATGTGCTAACCTTGATTCTAGTTTGTGTTTTTGGTACCAGCATAAAGATAGATGACTGCTGAATTTTTCCATTGCCAATTTGTGTTGTAATCTAAGGACTGTGTCTTTGCTCTTCCCTGCTTTACTCTCAAGAAATATTCTGTGAGCTTTGGGGAATAAGCTACTTTAGTTAAGTGATGTCTTTAATTGTGTATGATTAATCCATTCAGCATCCATAAGTCACATTTCTACTCATGGGCGTCCTTGCTAGATCAATAGCTTTGAATGTTGGAAACTGTAATAATCAATTGGGCTTGCGGTAGATCTGATGGAAATGGGGAAGAGTCTTAATTTCTATTCCTTTATTCTTCAGCTTCCCTTTCTCTCCCTGTACATAAATGCTTGAAATTTCTAGATGCCGTTCTTCTTCACCAGCCTAATCTCTCCTTCCCTCTGTGTGCTTCACCCTGTGCTCACACTGGTCTGATCTTCCCTCAGTTTTTGACAGGGCCATGTTGCTTCCCACCATAGGCCTCTGCGCAGCTCTCCTGGTTCATACACCAAAGCCTTGAGGGAGCTTTCTCATACTCTCCTGACCACGTCGTGTTTGCGGCCCATGCATACTTTGAGGACCTTTTCTTTTTCCTGTATAACATGTGTCATAATTGTAATTAAGGAATTCATTTTATATTTATTTAATGTTTTTCTCTCTAAATTACAAGCTCTCTGAGGGCAGGGGCTATGTTTATTTTGTTCACAGCTACCTCCCAGTGCCTAACACCATATGATATCATAGTTAGTAAAAATATAAGTATGTTTTATTGATGCAAAGTTGTTATTAATGTGCTTCCCCATTTTATTTGTTACTGTTGGTTTTGCTGGACTTTCCCCACAAAGGGTTGTGGTTTGGAGAAAGGAAAGCATATGTGAATTTATGATACTCTGGCTGTACCTCTCAATATAATCATTTACTGTGATTAAAGTACTACTGGCTGAATCACTTGTGCTTAAAAAATTACCATCCCAGTGAAAGAGTACATGTGTGATGGCTTGAAATTGAAGCCCCAGCATTCATCAACTGCTCCTGCCCCACACTTTTAAGTTTCTTTCTTGATCAGCTGGGAAATCTAATTTCATTATGATAGTGGCTTATGCTGGGGGAAAGTAGGTTTTCTCCACATAGGAAAATAGATTGTCACATGTAGATGTTGGTAATATATGGGTGGTCCAGAATCTAGAGTGCAGGTAAAGTGGTGTATGTACCAAATGTTGCAGTATTTGGAAGGCAAAGAATCATGGCTTGGAGGACCAGAGTGGTAGGTGTCAGGTGGGATTCAGAGACCAGGGAGTGAGCGATAATAAGAGCTGCACTGGAAGCAGAGGAGGAGAGTCTCTCTTCTAGCCAACAGAGAGTCTGTTGGTCCATAACTAGAAAGTAGCCAAGAGCTCAAGATTATATTCTATCCCCGCCTGGGGATAAAAACAGAGAGGCTTACATTGTTAATAAGTCTATTTGTTGTTCATAGGCTGTAGCCAACTTTGATATCCAAAAGAGGAAATAAATTTATTCTTTCTTGATTTCTTATTCTTTCTTTTCCTTCGTTCTTTCTTTTTCTTTTTAGAGATAGGGTCTTACTCTGTTACCCAGGCTGATTTGCATTGGCAGGATCGTAGCTCACTGTAGCCTCGAACTCCTGGGCTCAAGTGCTCCTCCCACCTCAGCTTCCCATGTAGCTGGGACTACAGATGCATGCCACCATGCCAAGCTAAGTTAAAAATTTTTTTTGTAGAGATGATGCTCTCTATGATCTTGAACTCCTGGCCTCATGCGACTCTCCTACTTTGGCCTCTCCAAGTGCTTGGGTTATAGGTGTGAGCCATGGTGGCTGGCATAGATTTATTTTTCTTAATCTCCCAGTGGTGACTGAGACCACTAAATTAGTGAGGTTGCTGGCATTTTCAAGAGTATTATTTGAGTAAGGCAGAACATCTTAAAAGAGCTTGGGTTTGTGTCTTTCAGGTGAGACTTCAAATCTTGGCTGTTACCGCTTCTTTTCCATGAGCCTCAGTTTTCTCATCTGTAACATGGTCCTAATGACACTACTGACCTTATTCTTGGAGCACAGTGACACTCATTTGATACTATTTTTAAAGCATCTCCTATGTGTCCCTGGCACATAGTAGGCATTCTGAACATGCTTGCCATTATTGTTGTTTGCTAGGACACTGGAAAGTCAAGTGATTTGTTCTAAAACTGGGTTGGGTTTTCATGTTCAGAAGAGGCTAGGACAGGGTGATGGTGATCCTGGAATGCCTGGCTTGCTGTGTTCACTCATCCAATTCCAGAATCAGGCCAAAGTTCTGTGGCCATTCAAAGCTTCAGGGCAAACTGTGTCTGGGTTAAGGGAACAATAGAGAGGTAATTGCAGCCATCAAATGTAGTGTGAAGCTTAAATCTAGTTTGCATCATTTCACAGCAAATGTACCTGACATATGAAACCTTTTCATCTAGTTTTCCTGAGGTTTGCTAGAGAGAGATGGTTTTATAGCGATTACATTAAACCAGCACTTGGTAATAGCAACCCCTGACACAGGTGGGCTAACAGCTTCAGAAAGCCCCTTTCTCTATTAAAGAATAATGGATCTGAACTGGGGATTTCCCTACCCCAACTCTTTCCAGTAGTATAGGATAGGAGCATTAGCTAGATTGATGATTGTGTGTATTTTTGCATTAAAAGTCAGGTTTGAAAATAACTTCTGAATTGATAACTGCGTGTTTGGATTTTCGTTAAAGCTATATTATGATTGAAACCTTTTTCACAGTTTGAAATCACAAGTCCACACATTTCACTCTGTATTAGTTAAAATACTGTAAGCCCATTTCAGTAACCTAATTGAATGCTATGTCTGATTCATGGTAATGATAAGTTGGAGTTCTCAGGTAGTGACCACTCTATTCTGAGTAAATCAAACAGCAAGCTCCCCTCTCTGTGATTGCAGTCAGCTTGTTTGACAGCCCACTCTGTGTGTGTGTGTGTGTGTGTGTGTGTGTGTGTGTGTGTGTGTGTGTGTACACATAACTCATTCTTTGGAATTCTCCCATGGAAAAGCAAAGGAAGGAAGCTGAGGGGAGGATGGGGCGATTGCATCCTGTACCCTTTGCAGGGGTGTGGCCACGACTGCCTCAGCCGAAGGGACGTGATACATTGTTTTTTCACTTAGGATGCCTGGATAGTGATAAGTCTTGATGAAAGGCAGGAGTGGCTTTTATTGTCATTCATACTGGACAGGAGCCTCTTGCTAGAGGCCTGCCGGAATCCTATCTAGTATTTTATTTCTAGAACTTTGCAGGGAGAGGAAGAGAAGCAGGAGCATCAGTGAAGTGAACCTGCAGAGCTTTCAAAGCCACCTTAGAACTCCAGACCCACCTTGACTTCGGTTCAGCTCTGGCTGCTCCTATGAATGAAACTGCCAAGTGGGTTGGCCAGGTGTTTGATTTTCAGGAGAATGCCATGTTTCTTCTTGCTGCTTCCTAAGTCTCATTTGAATGATGGATTTTACCCTGGCAGAGAGAAACTCTTTGGGATCATATGAGGTAAGATATTGGAAAGTGCTGTGGAATGAATTCCACTGTCACCTGATTTCCTTGTCCAATGTTTGAGATTTAAAGTTTTTTCTGCCTTTCACCTTGAAAAGCTCTTAAATATGGTCCCCTCCCAGCTTGCTTAGGGACAATTATTGACAAACTATGCAGCACATTTATCACTTGACAACTAGATCTAAGAGATCAGTGCTGAGATTAAAGCATGTAGAACTTTTACGTATAGCTAGACAATCACCTCATGAATTTTTAGGGTCCTGGTTGTTTTAAATGGATTTTGATGTTACTGTGATGTTAAGTACAGGTTCTACCTACAAGAAAATGCTTTTGAAAGCTGCCTTAGGTTGAGTCTAAATAGATTTCATGCTAGGTTTTCTGTCCCTAGAATAATCATGGTTTTTGACTAATTTTAAAGTTCTTCTTTCAGGCAATGAGATGGGAAAACAGATTTGCTTTTAAGGTAAAGTTCATATGGACAAGTATTCATAGACATCCATATTCTGGAGACTGTTGATTTAATGGCAGTCTTACAACAAAACTTTAACTTGAGAATAAGACCATGGTTTTTATATATTATCTTGTGGCAACTGTGGCAAACTGACCCAGTTTTCTATAGACCTCTAAAATTTGCAAGCAGAAAATCTACTTTAATTAATTATTTAAAAAGTGGAACAACTCCAGGGCAAAATTTTAGTTCTGATCTAATGCCTTGCAAGTTAGTCGTATACAGTGAATTTTTTTAAACTTTTTGGCTATTAAATGTCAATCAGTGATTCCCAAGAGGGGCGGTGATGTTAATTTTTATTGCCGTGTAGGGTGCAACTGGCATTTAGTGCCCCAGAGCCAAGGATGCTAATGTTTCTGCAATGTATTGGATAGACTCTCACAAAGAATTACCCCCTAGTATGCCTGTAGTGCCTCATTGAGCTCAGTTTAGTGAAAAGTATGTTGATGATTTAGTAAAGGTTTACATGAGCAGTCATCTCCGGAAAGGTCATTGAACTTCTGATACAGCAGTTGTAGGGAGGGACCCACACTTTGTTTGCATTATTCTTTAGGATCAGGAGCAGTGAATGTTTCAGAAATACTGCTCCCACATGCTTCTTTTTTTTTTTTTTTTTTTTTTACTTTTATTTTAGGTTCAGGGGTACATGTGCAGGTTTGTTATGTAGTTACACTTGTGTCACAGGGTTTTGTTGTACAGATTATTTCCTCACTCAGGTACTAAGCTTACTACACAATAATTTATTTTTTCTGATCCTCTCTCTCCTCCCATCCTCCACCCTCAAGTAGGCCCCAGTGTCTGTTGTTTCCCTATTTGTGTTCATCTGTTCTCATCTTTTAGCTCACACTTGTAAGTGAGAAAATGCAGTATTTGATTTTCTGTTCCTGTGTTTGTTTGCTAAGAATAATGGCCTCCAGCTCTATCCATGCTCTCGCAAAGTACAAGCTCTCATTCTTTTTTATGGCTGCATAGTATCCCGTGGTGTACGTGTACCACATTTTCTTTATCCCATTTGCCATTGATGGGCATTTAGGTTGATTCCATGTCTTCGCTATTGTGAATAGTGTTGCAGTGAACATAGACATGCATGTGCCTTTATGGTAGAATGATTTATATTGTTTTGGGTATATACCCAGTAATGGGATTGCTGGATTAAATGGTAGTTCTGTTTTTAGCTCTTTGGGGAATCAACACACTGCTTTTTTGTTTATTTTTATTTTTTATTTTTTTTAGAGACAGGGTTTCACTTTGTTGCCCAGGCTGGAGTGCAGTGGCATGATCATAGCTCACTGCGGTATGGAATTCCTGGGCTCAAGCAATCCTCCTGCCTCAGCATCCTGAGTAGCTAGAACTGCAGGTTTGTGACACCATGTCCAACTAATTTTTAAAAATTATTTGTAGAGACAGGGCCTTGCTGTGTTGCCTGGGCTAATCTCTAACTCATAGCGTCAAGCAATTCTCCTACCTTGGCCTCCCAAAGTACTGGTGTTACAGGCATGAGCCACCACACCCAGCCATTCCCACATGCTTCTAATGAATATTTGCAGGCTGAGATTAGATGAGCTCCAACAAGCTTTTGGTTTAGGTCAATAAGAGTAACTTCCTTCTTTAAAGGTAGCCATTATAGTTCCTCATCCATATTATATGAATTCATTAAAATAAAAGGAGTAATATACTCCTAACCAAAGGATGCTTTTGTACTGAACATTATATTTCATAATGATTATATATTTCTCTGAATTTTTTGCCTTAGGCACAACGAAAAAGTAACATCCTACAGGTTCTAGGGTTTGCTTTTAAATTTCATTTACTACTAAAAGAGGTTATCTTTGAGAGCAAGCTTAGCATATACATGGTATGTTTTAAATAATTAGAGGAAAGAAAGGAGGGTGTGTAATCAAATTTCTACTGTGATTCCTGGTAACTCTTTACATACATAGTACCCAGGTAGAGATTCTCAAGTTAAACATTACATTCAGGTCGTGGTTTCATTGTGTAGGGAGATGAGGGTGCCTCCGTCTGTTTTTTTATCAAGCAGGCTTAAAACTCATTGACAGAATTTTAAGCTTTGAATGACCTTCCATTCAAGAACCAGGCAGTACTGAGATATTACGTGTGAGATATTGTGCTATGCTCTTAGTGGCATAGTTTACAGTCACCATACAGTAAGGACTTCACCCTTGATGTCTATTCTTTTGGTGTCTGTGGATGAAGAAGGCAGAGCTTCAGGAAACATATAAATAAGCATGTTTTTGTTTTAATTTATGTATATTTATGAGAAATTAGAATAAAATAAATTTTAAAAGTAAAAGCTAAGGAAATGAGGTTTGAGAATTGTGCTTTTGAGTATTCCAATAAAACATAGCTCCCTTTAAAAGAAGGAATAAATAGAGTTTCATTTTGTTTTGTTTTATTTAGACGGAGTCTTGCTCTGTCACCCAGGCTGGAGCACAGTGGTGCAATCTCAGCTCACTGCACCCTCCACCTCCTGGGTTCAAGAAAGATCCAGGCGATTCTCCTGCCTCAGCTCCCCGAGTAGCTGGCATTATACACACCCACCATTATGCCAAGCTCATTTTTTGTATTTTTAGTAGAGACAGGGTTTTGTCATGTTGATCAGGCTGGTCTCAAACTCCTGACCTCAAGTGATCCACCCAGCTCAGCCTCCCAAAGTGCTGGAATTACAGGTGTTAGCCACTGTGCCTGGCCCAAAATAGGTTTTGGAAACTTGTATGTTTGGCTCCTGATATGTGCCAGGTTCATATACTATACTCATGTACTCCTCACAGCTTTCTGAGCTGAAGTGTGATTATTATCATTTTATAGATTAAGAAAATGGAATCTATACAGTTTTTAAGACTTGTCCAAGGTCATTAATCCAGCAAATGGGAGAAATAGCCAAATCAGCTATTACCTAGCAGCGGCAGCCTGGCAACATCAGTATCAAGCAGTGTATTATTCTTATTGCACCTGTAATGTATGATATATAATTGAAAAGGAAAACATACTTCTGTTGGTGTGTTAGTCTATTTCACACTGCTATAAAGAACTTCCCTGAGACTGTATAATTTATAAAGGAAAGAGGTTTAATTGACTCACAGTTCCACATGGCTGGGGAGGCCTCAGGAAACTTATAATCATGGAAGAAGGTGAAGGGGAAGCAGGCACTTTCTTCACAAGGTGGCAGGAGAGAGAAATGAGCAAAAGCAGGAAGAACTGTCTTATAAAACCATCATATTGCCCAGGCATGGAGGCTCATGCCTGTAATCCCAGCACTTTGGAGGGCCAAGACAGGCAGATCATTTGAGGTCAGGAGTTCAAGACCAGTCTGGCCAACCTGGTGAAACCATGTCTCTACTAAAAATGTAAAAATTAACTGGGCATGGTGGCAGGTGCCTGTAATCCCAGCTACTTGGGAGGCCGAGGCAGGAGAATTGCTTAAAGCCGGGAGGTGGAGGTTGTGATGAGCCTAGATTGCGCCATTGCACTCCAGCCTGGGCAACAAGAGCGAAACTCTGTCTCCAAAAAAAAAAATCAGATCTCATGAGAACCCACTCACTATCATGAGAGCAGCATGGGGGAACCACCCCCATGATCCAGTGATCTCCCTCCCTCGACATGTGGGGATTACAGAACCCTCCCTTGACACATAGGATTACAGTTTGAGATGGGATTTGGGTGGGGACACAGAACCAAACTTCATCAGTTGGTAAATAAAGGTCCGTATAGACTGAACACGAGTGCTATAGTAAACAAGTTGCATTAAGGGTTTTACTGAGCTACAAAGTGATGAAGAATCAGAGCTTTATATTTTGACTGATTAAAGTTGAGTGTGGGGAAAATTGGACTTTCAGGAGTTGTTTGAATAAAGAGAGGGAGGAGAAGAGCATGGTGGAAGTAGACAGTGAAATTACAAGACAGTGTTTGACTTGGAGAGGGCTTAGAGGAGGATGAGTTGCCTGCCAGAGTTGTTGAACTGAAGAGTATGAAATTTGATCACAGCCTTTTGCACTAAGGATGGATATTTGTATTGCCTGCAGCTGTATCTGCACAGGGAGGATGGAGATGGAGGAGAATCAAGTCCAGGTTATGGGTACCATGCTTGGTGGTTGGCCTGGGCATGAAGTATCATGTGCCATCCTCTCTTGCTCTTCTACAGTTTGTTCTGCACACAGCAGCCAGAATTATCATTATCATTTTTTTAATGCAGATCATGTCACTTCCCTGCTTTAAATTCTCCAGTGACTTTCCATTATCCTCAGAGTGTGGTCTAGACAGACCATAAGGTATAGTGTTGAGGAGCATGGTCACTAGAGCAAGACTGGGTTCACTCTGTACATACAGTAGTCTCCCCTTATCCATGGGGGATACGTTGCAAGACCCCTAGTAGATACCTGAACCTGCAGATAGTGCTGAACCCTACCATACAATGTTTTTCCCTATACATATATACCTATGATAACATTTACTTTATGGATTAGGCACAGTA